CGACAACTATCTTGTCCAAATGAGGGACCATTGACTGCTCAAAAACCTTCATGCACAGACTGTCCTCCAGAGTTCCCCTTAAAACTGAATTCTATACCACCTAATGCTTCCACACACCTAAAAAGTGATATTATTCCATTTGTTGACAACTCTTCCAAGTTTGTCAGTTCATCATCACCGTTTCCACTGCCACCGCCACTAGCACGTGCCGCGCCCACCGATCAAGGTAATTTTCGTGATTTCAATAAAAACAAGGGTATGGATTGTAGAAATGGCCCACGGTCGCGAGATTCTGAACCGATTTTGAGCAGCACCATGCCGTCTTCATCGGCTGCGTCGGTCAAAACAACATCAGTCTTTCTCACTACGTCAAACCCTCAAAGAGTGCCTATTGCCTTTCATACAGCGAGGAACGTTACGTCCTTACCGCCACTTTCCAATCAAACGTCGGGTCATTTGTGATGTATTGGATGCACTGGATCTGAATATTAAATCTGCAGTATAGTATTCGATAATAAACATTAACTTCTTTGCCGGATGTTTGTCGCACGTTTTAAACCATCATCCATATTATCCATGACAGCACTTCAACGAGCATTCTAAACGCACTATGATAATTTGCTGAAGCGAGAGGTGCCACGCTACCATTTTTGTATTAATTCCCGTAAGAAGTCGGTTAAAGGGAGCTTGTCTGTTTCCTCTGTTAAACATATTGGGTTGTCTCATAATTCCTGTCGCAATTTCGACACTTTTGTTTATCCAAGTTTTATCTCTTCTAGGAAACAACTGATCAATAGCATAACCACCATCATGGTCACTGATATGCGTGCATTTGCTAGTGAGCGTTTGGAAGCTTCCAGCCCAGAATGAAGGAAGCTGGGGGTTGAAGAATTTGGAGAAGTCGTTTTTGGGGTGGTCTTTAACTTTCTTCTCTGGCAGATGCTTATTCAGGGCGCAGGGGAGGCGATAGTCCGACAGAGCGATGCCAATGCTATATGGTGGATGAGGTATCGTGGCCCTGGCTATCTCCCTCAGAACGTGGTGAGTTGGCATTGCAATGTGAGGTCTGGCGTACATTCGGAGAAAGGAGAATCTGAGACGTTTCTGACGATTCCCTCGCAACCCCGAAGCCAGCCTAGAGGGCTATTCCGCGCTGACTTTAGCAATGCTTGTCTTCATACATTGAAGTGGTTCCCAAACCAGGCCACCTAGCGAATCCAACAAAACGAGAGCGATATTCTCAGAAAACGGAGTTCGGGCTTTGGTTGAGCTGGTGCTTCCTGGCTGCGAGGCAGCCATCAGACGTGCCGCATGTTGTTGTCGCAGTGGACTCATGACTCATTTCCACTGGTGACCGATTAGGGAAGGCTCTGCTTTTGCCGTCCCAGAATGGATTTTCCCCAGATGGTCAGGCGTGCTTCCGCTCATGGTCGGCCGGACCATAAGGTTTCCATCAAAACTTCATTCTGCAGCAGTCCTTGCCATACTGATGGCGTGTGCTGGTGCATCGGCTGCGCTCAGGTATCTGCTACAATACCCTGGTAGCAACGTGCGGAGGCACTCCCAATTTAGGGTGCAAGGGGCGCTCATCAAAAATGACCGCAGGCCCAGTATGAGGTTGAAGTTCATAGCTCGTTTCGTCTTTGCCGTTGCGATTGGACCACTAGCTCAGTACCCTATCAGTAGCAGAGACTGGGTCAAACAGCGCTGATCTTCTCTGTTGTCCTCCTTGCTACAGAGTTCATTTGAGGATCGTAAAGCATAATCATTCATTATAGTCACTGACCTATTTTTATTCCTAGTTGATTAACCCGTTAAGGGCTTGCGTTTCCGAAACCATGCTGTTAAGGCTCTTGAAGCATACTTCAACATACTAACGTATTTCGCAATGAAACGGTCTTAGACGGAAGGAATTTGAAATTGAATAGAAATGCGACAGGAATTATGAGACAACCCAATAGTTGCTACTGGCTAAAGACTGGAACAGGATCAAGCGTTAGCAAGTCGTGAGGAATTGAAGGCCTTCCATTTCGTTCTCGTTCAAGGCGTGAACACAAAGCGTGAACGTTTCAACGGTGCATTCCCTTCCCGCGATCTAATAGATGTTAATTATGAATCCATGAATGAACTTCCAAAAATATTTGAGCAATTGACGAGGGTGTTCAACACTGGAACTGGTCGAAAGATAGGTATGATTCCTGGCCCGAGCATACTAAAAATGCCCCTTTCCTGAAAGTGACTACAAGGGGGGTCTTTCAGGGCAAGCCACGCTTTTTCAAAACGGTTTTTTGCATATTGTAGGGACGCATGTAGGGAACACAAAACCATGTTTCATTTTCGCTGAACGGTTATAGCAGTACCAAAAAAGAAGCATAAGGTACTGTGGTTCGATCCCCCGTGGCGACTAAATTTTGCATTTGGGTTGGCGCCTACGGTGCCAAATCGCGCTAAATGTCAAAATCAGATGTCAATTCATCGTCAGGACCATTTTGAAGCCAACAAGTGGCCGCCAACCTTGATTGCAAAATTTAGTCGCCGCGGGGGATTGAACCATCAAGAGTATTATTCACCACTTTTTTGGTACTACTAAAACCGTTCAGCGAAAACGAAACATGGTTTTGTGGTCCATACATGCGTCCCTACAATATGCAAGGAACCGTTTCAAAAAGCGTGGCTCGCCCTGAAAGCCCCTTGTTAGAACTACGATATTTTCCACGTTCGCCTTCATATTTTAGACCCGAGTTTCTATATTTATGCCGTCACCACTGAGAGTTGTCCAAAACCCGTTACCTTTTAGCAGAACTGGGGCTCATCGGAAATCGCATCCAGTTAGTTCTTCACTTCTTCTTTTAGTTCTTCATATTATAAGAATGCCCCAATTCAAAACGGTTTATTTGCACATCCCTTTGAGCAAGAGAAGAAAACAACAATCTTCTCGGGTGTTAATGAAAAGCTCATTCCAATATCGATTCTAATTCGGACAAATCACTTCTACCTCATTCTTTTTTGCGCTTTTCGTGCTTGCTAAGGCTAACATACTTTCATAATAAATTCATTCCTCTTTTGTTGTCACTGCACATTGATCCTGTGAAGTCGACAGGGCTTCATAAACTGGATACTTTGTAAAACAGGCATGGCAAGATCTAGATGGTCGATAATCCCACAAACCTGAAGGTAATCTTGAATTTCACCACAGTCAGGTCTTCCATCGATTTCTACCCATTCCAGTGCTCCCGGCTTAAGGTTTTGAGTTTCCAAAGCTGCTCTTGCCTGAAAATGCTTTACATCACAAGAAGAAGACTGTGCCGCCCAGAAATTCCTTTCAAACGTCGTCGCAATTGTTCACATGGACAACGCCCAGTCTAAAGCTACAAGGCTGATTGAGCACAGAGCACCCTTTTTGTTCGTTAAGCACTTCCCATGGAATTGCCAATTCAGCGAATAAGCGAATTAGTGGAATTGCTAGAAAGGGAAGAGACGTAATTCCCGTTAATTATTATTCAATTATTATGTGTGCTTTGTGATACGTGCGTGGTCTCGTTCTTTGTAACTTCTACTTAGAATCATTGTGAAAATGTTAACCTCTCGTCGCGTATTCGACGCAAAATTGAAACCGTCAGCGTCGGTTGGACGTCTATTATCGATTTTGCTAGCCCCTGGCTGCGAAGGGTGGTCGATGTTTGCTCAGATCACCCGACAAAAACCACGGCAAGACTGGCAAACAAAAGAAACCGAACCAAATAAAAGTGACGTCTTGTAAAAAAAAGCGAAAAAAAGTGATTTCTTACCTTATGGCAATAAGGACAATACGATTTGCTGAAAACGACGACCTTGTGTGCTTGGAGAAGTCCATCCACATAATTTTTCACACCCATGCTCGGTTCAGAACTGCAAGGATAACGAGAATTGCTCATTTGAAGGGTTGAGACGTAATAGAATATGCTCATCTCCCAAAATTGGTTTATTTCAAAGAGTGACTGTGGAGGATGCATTCACACAAACTTGAATACTATCTCTACATATAATTTATTGCAAAAGTCGTTACCCAGTATTTTTTCGTGCCATGGTAATACGTTTCTTCAAAGGAATGATTATGAAACTTCTTGGAAAGTACTTCTTGGAAAAACCTCTGGACAGTGAAAAATATCACTGAGGGACAACGAAATTTTGGCGAAAGTATGACGTCATGGCTTAGTTAGCCGAAAGCGACAAAGGTCAATCACGAACTGATAGAAAAACGATATAAATAACCTTTTTTTCTGCTAGATTGTGCAGGTCATAATTTAAGCTATCTACATATCTACGAGCTGCGTATCTTAACCCCTCGCACCTTGATAAAAAAAAAAGGGAGTGGCATTTGGAACCATTTAGCACAACAATTTATTCATTTAAATATTACAGAACTGATGTAAAACAAACTTGGAAGCCCCCATAGAACAGGAAGCTGTAGGGAAGACTGGACCTTTTATACGCTCGTAGCGCTCTTAGGTGTCGGTAGTCGATGGTTGCTCCAAAGGAGGCGTGGCTTGTCGTCCTACTTCAACGCCACAGCGACCGCCTCTTTGGCACTCTGTCCGCCTATCGCCCTACTTTTACGCCACAGTCAACGCCTATAGCCATTCTTGGGATAAGTGCCTTTGGTAGCGACCTGATGATAAGTGACGCGACCTATTTATTTTTGTAGTAAAGCAAGAAAGCAAAATATAATATAATGATATGTAAAAAGTAAGCCTTCAGAAGGAAAAAGTCTGATTCGCTCCGCCTTCCCCCAACAATAATCATCGTCACTGAAACACTAACTGGAATAGGAAAGGGAGGCTGAAATGTCCCTCAACATGATTTCAAGGCGAAATCCAATCAAATTCACCTCATGGTCATCAGCAGACATCTGTCAGCGTTATATCTGGATCGCTCAACAAAATACTCAACACTCACCTGCCTTACGTGCTTGTTTTGGCCAGTGTTATTTTGTCATCATTCCTCTCTGTCGTCCGGCAACAATGTCACCATGTCCTATGACGAGAATAACTTTACAGCAAGCACCTCCTCGCAACGATCATGTCACCGGCGAGTTTATCCTAACAGATCCTGGTTTTGAAGGCTTCATTGAAATCAAGACACAAATCAGTGAACAAACTCAAGGTGCGTGGTACCTACGGCATTGTATTATACATTACCGAGCACGCTAAATATTGCCTATTTCCAAATAAACCCCTTTGGCAATACTGGACATACTTTTGTGATTTATTTTTGTATTAAATTTGATTCCAAAAGTTACAAACATTCAGATACGTCATAGGTTCCGTAAAGCACAATCCCAACATTCAAGCTAGTTTAAACAAAGAGCATCACCTAGTGTTTTCAAGAGCTGAGGTGGATATGGCCCATTGAAAGTGGCGCTGTTGTACCGCTCGCGAATTCGTTAGTGGAGTCTAACCCACATCAAATTAGTTTTGATGGGTGCAGGTTTATTAAGAGCTATCGTGTTTGTCTCAGAATATAAGATACGTACTGACTCGAATATTGGCCGCACCCAACAAACCAGCCAGCGCTTGGCCAAACACATGAATATTCCTTCCTTATACATAGACATGAAGGTACACTACGTGGCGCATCCACTGGAAACTGCGCGGCTGGCCATCCCCCGTTACACTCCATCACTGTTAGTTTAGATACCCGCACCCATTAAGCGCCAAGAAGATTCTATTGGGTTGTCCCATAATTAGTGAATCACTTCGTATTTTTTTCTTTTTATTCGAAGTTTTGCTCATCCAAACATACACCTCTGTCATCTACAATGTATTGCCTATTCATGGGAATTTATTCGCTGTCTTTCTCTGAAATTGCAGGAGCTCTTGAACGAAGAAAGATCGGAAGTCGGGTTTGAGGTCATGTCACTTAGCGTAAAATTCTTCCTGGGGAAGAGCGCTAGAGCTCAGACTGAGTTGTCTTTTGTTGGCACGAGGATAGGGCTACACGGCGGAGGTGGAAGAACTGCTAGCCTGAGAGTCTCCAATTTTTTATGAATATTCTCCGCAAGGTGGGGTCGAACGACCTCAGGAAAAAAGCAGACTTTGTCTTGCTTTACTTTCAAATTGAACGCGTCGCCATTACGCTGTCGACGTTGATCTTCTTCAGTGACCCTAGTATTACTGGGCGGCGGTTCCCAGCGCAAGGTCCCTCTCGTGCTCCACCAATATCTCGGAAGGTCGGACTTAGAGGAGGTTGGGCTTTTGCTGTCAGAACTCCCGAATCGTTCAAGCTAGGCTACTGCTCCTTGTGGATTTGCTAGCACACTCCACCCAGTCCACAGACCCTGGTGAATATGCTGGATGATCACTGTAAGGAACTAAGGGAGATCAGAAGGAACATGATGATGTCAGATCGTGTTTGGAGCTGATTTCGGGCACAGAGCACGGGAGAACAAATTAAATATTTTAAATCTTTACGACTCTACGAGATGTCTACATTCCATCATCTTAACAAGTTGGATACGCTCTAGCAAATAGCGACTAGTTTGTCCAGATCCATTCAGTGGCGCTGGGTAGAGCAGTGAGATTGCCAGTTGAGGGGTAGTTGGAGTGTGGGTCATCTTCAACTAAAAAAGCCAACCTCGGAATAGAGTGAACCATAAGTGCACCGTGGATTGAGGAGCGTGCCCTCGCCTATCTGCTGGTTGATTCTCTATGTTGTTGGCGTTTGAAAGATCCTAATCAGAAGTGATTAAGAAGGGAGCTCAAAAATAGGTTCCAGAAAAATTGAAGTATCAGCCACGGAAGGCAGCATGTAAATGGGCTGAGTAATTGCTCAGGTAGGATAATGTGGATGCTACTTCGCAAAACATGTTTCACGCCTTCACCATTTTTCTTGGATTTTTATAGCAATAAATGTAAAGTGATTCACTAATTATGGGACAACCTAATAAAAAGGAGATCTCGGTTTCCAGAGGGCCGTAGACACTCAATCTTCGAAAAATCCACAAGAGAAGCAATACTAAGCTGACACAATAATACGCTCGAGAAAATGCGTCAGCAAAAACGGGAGCGCAGGATTTCCATGGAAACTAGCTTTGCAGCCAAGCCTACCAGTTTTATCTGCACTTCTGACACTTTGCTTCTCTTTTGAATCTAGCTAATCGACCAACTGGTCTATCCTACAGATTTAGTCGATAATGGAAGGCTTGACAGATACTTGCGAAGGACGATGATGAATCAATCAATCCTCTCAGAATGCGCCACATAAACACCTTCCTTTCGGCCCGTAGACACTCTTGAGAACATGAGGCACATTTAAACTATCTAATCCAATTGATGTTGGCTCTACAGCACTCCCATAACTTATGAAGTGATTAACAGTGGAGCAGAGATGAAATCGAAAATTTATTTGCCCAAACGAATCCAGCTAGCGTTCCCACGAACTGAACTCGAGAATATTCGAATTCCCTGAACTTATTTCCATTAGCAAGAGTAATTCATTTCTTGCTTCAAACATACCTATAAATTTTATCACCTTCTTTGAGGCAGTCAATAGTGGTCTAATGGACATTCCACTCGGACAAGCCCTTTCCAGTTTCCTGCCTGAGTCCTCACAATCAGCAATGATGCATGCACTTTGGAAGACAGGTCACCGTTGAGTTGCGCGATGAGAGGAGCCTGAGGGGCCTAGGCTATAGCTTTTGTTACACATTCACCCATTTGCTTAGAGGTGACCTGAGCTGATAGGGAGAGATACTTTACATTTTATTGTTATTAAAAATCCAAGAAAAATGGTGAAGGCGTGAAACATGTTTTGCGAAGTAGCATCCACATTATCCTACCTGAGCAATTACTCAGCCCATTTCATGCTGCCTTCCGTGGCTGATATTTCAATTTTTCTGGAACCTATTTTTGAGCTCCCTTCTTAATCACTTCTGATTAGGATCTTTCAAACCCAGCAACATAGCGAAGAGAATC